TTCAGTCTTCTGTGGTTGGCGGTGACCTGACGGAGTCACTGCTGGTAACTTGCTTTTTCCAGTTTAAAAGTAGCCCCACAAACACATGTAGGTGACCACACAAAAGCTGGCCAAGAGGAGGGAATTTCATTGGCACGCCTGTGAGTGACATCCTGACTGATGGTGTCCCTCATGCTACATCAGCGTTTTCCTTGGAATCACGGGATGGAGGCATTTTAGCATTTGTAGTGAAACTCCTACCACATGGTTTAGCCTGAGTTTTAGAATAGGTGGTAATACAAAGAGTGAGGAATGTTTCTATTTTAGGGGAGTCTCCTGATCTTAAATTCTGATTTGGGAAACTCTCCCCTTGAAATAAATATTCCTGGATGAAAAGCCCAGTCTTTGGAATCTGTTCCTAAGTCTTTGTTTCTAGTTTGTAAAATCTGTTCATTTGTGAGTTTTTCAACTAAAGTAAATTTTTAGAAAAGTTGCTGAATTTGGAGGCTAAGATGACCATCTTTCATTTAGTTTTCTTTTTTGACTGATTCCCATCTTGAAGCTTCTGATTTCTTTCTCTTCTCACCCTGACCTGATTTTCTAAGTTGGAGGGATTGGAAGCTGGCTCTGTGTCTGCCCTTGGCAGCCTCTGCATGCAGTGGGAGGCTTTTCATTAGAGGGAAGCCGCCTTCACCCTGGGAAGGCTGCCTGGGCTGTTTTGAAGGCAGTACCTGCAAGTGTTTGTCGTGGGGGAAGAAAGAAAAAGGGTTCTGTTGTCGGGGTGCTGGCGGGGGAGGACAGTTAGGATGGTGGCAGGTAGGAGCTCTTTTCTGGAGCATTAGCTAGGTAATAACTTCATTGCCTGATTATGAAATTGGGGCAGAGCAGGGTCTTAGAGGGGAATCTGTGTCCTATCTAAGTAATAATAATAACGATAACAATTCATATTTATAAAGCACTTTAAGGTTTTCCACATGCTTTCCGTATGTTAATCTCATTTGAATCTCAGTACAGCTTCTTAACAAAAAAATATAATCGATGCTTGTTAAATTAAAAGTAGACGAAAAGAACTGGTGGTGAGATGACCTGAGATCCGGTCCTGCGTCTGCACCGTCCGGTGACTCTTGTACTCAGCCATGCTAGCGTGTCTGCTTGCTTGGGCTCAGTCATGTCAGAGCTCTGTTAACACCAGGACACAGTGAGAGGTCCGGGGAGAGAGCGCCTGCTTTGGAGTCGGGGAGCCGCCTTGGTGACCGTGTGACCTGGGGAGCATCCCCCTACATGGGGCATGCGGTGGGGATGCAGAGACACCGAGGGAAGGCCTCCCTGCCCTCAGGCGACATGAACACCAACCCGATTCAAATGTAATTGGGAAATATTTAACAAAATTAATCAAAATACAATAGAACATAGATAGTATGAATATGTGGTTTTCTATGGCCATCCACCTCCAGAGAAAGAACCAGTGGAGTTGGAAGGTATATTGAAGCATCATTTTTTCATTTTTTTTTCTTTTTTGCAACCTGGCTAACATGGAAATAGGTTTTGCATATTTCACGTGCATTTCACATGTGTAATTGATATCTTTTTTTGCCTTCATGATTGGGAAAGGGAGGGTTGGGAGGGAGGCAGAGAATTCAGAACCCAACATTTAAAACATGTTAAAAATGAATAATAATTTTTAAAAGATAATATTTTTAAAAATAGCATGTGGTTTTCTAAGCCACTGTGGCCCACAGGGATCTTTTTGTATGGTCGAGTGGCCGCCTTCTGTTTGGGTTTGTCACTGCCGGTGGAGGGCCGAGAGTTCAGCGATGCTGGCGTCCTGGAGAGCTAGCATGTGTCTGAGATGGTCGTGAGCCCCTTCTGTCCTTCCTGACTCGGAATGCAGCTTTCTGGCTACCATGTCGTGCTGACCCTCACACATACATACACCGTAGACAACTTACATACTTCAGTAAAAGAGACTTTTTTGGGTGAGGCACTAGCTGTTGGGGAGATGCGCAAAGGCCTCATATAGAAGGTGATGCTTGAGCTGAGCTCTGCAGGAAACAGAGGTAGCCTTGAAAATGGCCTGTATCAAGGTGTGGAGGCTGGAGATGCCTTGTGTTGGGTGTGAGGAACATCCAGGCACTCAGTCTGACCAGATCAGGAGTATGTGAAGGGAAGTCCCGTCCGACAAAGCGAGCCAACGTGTGAAGGGCTTTAATTGGCAAACAGAAGAGTTTGGATTTGGCCCTGTCATCGCTGAGGTCGCTTCCTGCTCTAATGACCACCAGCTGGTACCCAGATGCCAGACGTGGCCGATGCATTGGTGTGTTTGTGGAAGGCTTCTTATGGACTTAATGGATAATAGAAGTAGAAATGAAAGGACATCAATACAAATTGTTTTTAATGCATAGAAGAAAAAAGGTCAGAAAGGAAGACAGAAGAGCAAATTTATTTGACTACCTTGTTAAATTTAAACCATATGTAGCAGAAATTCACTATTTCTTATACAGTCCTCTTTCTTATTCCTCAAATACTGAAGTGTTTGTTTTTATTGATTGTTAAATTCATAATAAAAAGGAAATAAACTTGAACCCAGGTGGTAACTCGATGTCTCCTCATTTGGATGTAAGTGCTTGTGGGACCTTCTGGGCAAGGACAGAGGCAGCGTGGGTGACCAGATAGCCTGCATTTAAAATGATGCCGTTTCAGCTGAGTTGAATAATAATATAGCGCTTTAATACTTATGAAGCACTTCCTTGAAGAACTGATTCCCTGCCTCCCGCTGCCTACTGCCCTCCTCCCGTGTCCTGTTGTAGAAGCCAGTCCTTCCTCAGTGCTCTCTGGAATGCTTGTTCCCTAGGTCACAAACATCCCCCCCTTCCATCTTCGAGCTGTCACTGTGACTTGGCTCCCTCCTGACGACCCAGCTGTCCTGGACACCCTTTCTAGCCTCGGCCGCACTTTCACACATTCCCCCGGACTCACTCACCAAGGTGGGGGCCTAGGAATCCCCCCTGCTCCCAGCCCCACGGCCAGGGTCTCCCTTTACTTACCACTATCACTCAGTAACCCCTCTGTCCACACTTTCTTCCTGGTCTAAATTCTGGTAGATTTTGTCTACGGACCTCCATGGTGGTACTCCTGTTTGCTCGTGAGCTCAGTAGCTGGCGAACAGTCTTTCTTTCCTCCTCCGACCTGGGGACATGAGCATGCACAGGGTCAATCCTTTATGGTTCTCAGATGGCCCGCCCTTCCATCTCAGCCACACGCAGAGATGGCCATCCCCACCCACACATGCCCCACTTCCACAAACTCTGAAATTCCCTCAGATGATCACAAGCCGTTAGCATCCCTGTTCCTCTTCCACGCCATGACCTCAGATCCCTTCCCCTCCTTCTGTCCCCATTCTGACCCCTGGGTCAAGCACGCCAACTCTACACTCCCTTGAAGGCCTAGAATCCTGTCCCCACATCGTACTGTTCCCGTCCAGCCAAACCTTAGGCTAGGGTCACTTCCACCACGTGTGGCCTTCGCTCCTACACACGTGCTGCTGAACTAGGGTGGAGAAAACCACGCCGCTGTTCTGACTGGGGCCACTAGAGACCAGTTACCCAGACCCAGCTGGGCCCTCCCTGCTGCCAGGCAGTCCCCCTACACCCACATTGTCTCCTCATTCTCCAGCTCTCACAGCGACTCTTTCAAAGCTTTTCATCCCCCCCGCCCAAGGCTCCCATGGCTGCCCTTCCCCCCAGCCTCTCAGCAGAGAACCTGGCCTCGTCTGTTACAGAAAAAATGGTGACCACTCCCTGTGAGCTGCCTCTTCTCTCCTCGTCCTCATCTGTCGTCACCCGGATGCCCTCTGCCACTCTCCTCTCACCTCCTCTCCCTCCCTGCCTAGCTCTGAGTCTGGCTTCAGACCTCCTCATTCTGCCGAAGCAGCCCTCTCTTGTTTGCCAAAGCCAGTGGCCGTTTCTCAGACCTCATCCTTGACCTCTGCAACCTTTGATACCATCCGTCACCCTCATCTCTGGGCCTTCTGGACACCACTCTGCTGACCGCTCTTCCTGGTCTCCTTTGTGGGATCTTCATCCGGGGTTTACCGGCTAACAGTGGGTGCCCCAGGGCTCTGTCCTCGGCCTCTCCTCTCCCTCTGTGCTCTTTCCCTGGCGATCTCAGCAGCTCTCGTGGACTTAGTCGCCATCTCTGTGAGGATGACGCTCGAACCTCTCTGCTGATTTCCGTTCTCACACCTTCAATTGCCTATTGAGCATCTCAGATTGGACGTCCCGTAGACATCTCAAATTCAGCAAGTCTAAAAGTGAATTCACTGTCTCTCTGCTTTTTTTTATTCCGAAGAATCAGTTCACTTATAGGTTTGGGGTAATGATAATGGGAGCCGCGAGGTGGTGCCGCAGTGCAGAGTGCCAGGGTTCATCTTCCTGAGTTCAAATCCAGCCTCAGACACTTACAAGCTGTGTGACCCTGGGCAAGTCACTTCCCCCGTTTGCCTTCGTCTCCTCGTCTATAAAAGAAGGAAATGGCCAACCACTGCAGGGCCAAGAAAACCTCAGTGGGGTCGTGGATCATCAGGCATGGCTGAACAGCCACAGTGATAATAGCAATAACTAACATTTATCCAGTGCTTTAAGTTTGCAAAAACACTTGAATGAATTATCTCATTTGATCCTCATGTGCACCCTGTGAAGTAGGTGCAGTTATCACCCCCATTTTACAGATGAGAAGACTGAGGCTGAGTGAGGTTAGGTGACTTGCCCAAGGCCACGCAGCTCCTATGTGCCCGAGGCGGGAGTTGAACAGTGCTCTCTCTGTGAGCCACTACTTAGCTGTGGAAGTGGCGCTGTGTCCCACTGTTATTTATTTCTCTGTTGCCTTGTATTCCTCTCTCAGAACCATATTTGAGTTAATTGTGGTTAATTTTGCACAAACATTGGTGTAAAATAACCATCCCCAACATTCCTTTTTCTACCTGTACAAGTTTTTCTAATCTGTGACTTGCCTTCCTTCCATAGAACGGTGGCGGCTGAAGTGAGGAAACAGATCTCAGGCCAGTACAGCGGCTCGCCTCAGCTTCTCAAGAACCTCAGCCTCGTGGGCAATGTTTCCCACCACGCCAGTGTAAGTAGCACATCGAAATGGGCTCAGTTGTGGCACGTCGCTGACGGGGTTGGAAGCATTTTACCAGTCCTGGGCATCTGAACTAGGAGGAAAGGCTCTCTGGCCGGGGCCTGCCCCAGTGCCGTGGACCTTCCTTCTGCAGCTCAAGTGTGACTCCAGGGAAGGTGAGGGTGCAGCTGACCCGAAGGGCCTTTCTTTTCCTTCTTTCAGGGACGTCACTCTCAACACTTGGAGCCCCAGTGCCCTTCACTTCATCTCTCCACTCGTCTCTCTCCATGTGTACAGACAGACACACACACACATACACACACACTCACTCACTCACACTCACACTCACACAATCTCATTGTTAGGTATCCCTCCTGTAAAGAGGCATGAAAAACAACTATGAAAGGAGGGTAGAAGTTTGGAGCAAATTTTGCCTAATACAAAATATTGAGCTTGTAAATTGATTAGTAACAGGTATAGAAAGTATATTAGAAGTTAGGTCTTTCTGATACTTGGGCAATTCCAGTAAAATGGTAGATGCTGATATTCGTTGCTTTTTAAAGACACAGACATATTTAGATTCCGGTGTATTCTGATGTATTCTCTCAAATACTACTGAACAGAATCACAGCAAAAGTTGTTTAGTGCAGCCTATGGGAAAGTATGCCAGCAAATTCTTCTCTTGGCCCAAGAAAGTGCCTTTATGTAAGGCTGAGACGAGGCTCACCAGCGGGTTGACCATGATAGATGAATTGGATTCTGTTTACACGATCTTAATACTCGTGCCTCTGCGAATCATCGCGTGTTAGACGATTGTGCTTGGAGCTGTCGTGTCCGCCCACTCTGTTACCTACCGTTTGGTTTGTGGGTTGGATTTCGTCCCATCACTTGATGCTATCCTGGTGGTGTTCCAAGATAAATGGTATTGGAGATAGATGGCAGCTGCCAACAAGGGAGTTGCTCAGTCTCGGATGGAAGTCCTGCAAGGTCAGTGAAGTTGACTCACATCAGCTGCTGACAAAGCCAGGATACTCTGTTTTTCACGGAGGCAGATTGGTCACAAAGCGTTTCTTCAGCATTTGCTTCGTGCCAGGCTTTGTGCGAGGTGCCGAGGGGGCGCAGACAAGAATGAAATAGTCCCTGCCCTCCAGGAACTGATGCTCTTTTGGGAATGGACCTGTCTAGGCAAAATATATATATTGTAGAATCGACACGAGGTAATCTGGTGGGTGGGGAGGACAGTCCTAGCCGAGGAGGGGTCAAGAAAGATTTCATGTAGAAGGAAATGTTGGGGCTGATTCACCAAGGAAAGTGGGAATTCTAAGAGGCAGCAATGAGGAGAGCAAGTGCTTTCCAGGCATGAGACACTGCCAGTGCAGAGGTGCAGAGATGGGAGATGGCGTGTCCTATGGGAAGAACAGCAAGAGGGCAGTCTGGGAGGGCTTTAGAATACAGGGGGGGCGATTGAAGTGTAACGTAGTAATACTGGCCAGTTAAGTTAGGGCTGCCAGGGCCAAAGAGAAGGATTCATGTTTGGTCTCATTGCTTCCTGTTGCCTCATATCAAGTCATCTCTTTAGTTTTTAAAGTTTCTGTGTGTGGTAAGGTCCCATAGAGAGCCTTCGGCCTTGGGGAGAAAGGCCTCTTCATCTCAGACCAGAGGAGAGACATGGGTGTGGTGTCAGGGTGCTCTGAGATACAGAGAAGTCAGAAGAAACTCACGGCGTGTGGCCCCTTCCCTTCTCAACGAAGCGAGATGCTGAAGGTGACAAGGAGCCCCTGGAGTCTGGGCAAGGGTGTGACATGGTTGGACTGCGCTTTAGGCAGCTGAATGCCAGAAGGACCAGAGAGGGGAGAGCCTTGAGGCAGGCAGCCGCACTCATAGCTACTGCTGTAATCCAGTAATCCAAATGAGAAATCACCGGGCCTGGGCCTCGGCGACAGCGTGGATGTGGGGGAGCCTGAGGGTCTGGGAAGATGTGCTGCTCTGCTCAGTAATAGGGAAATTAGGGGAGGGGAGGGTTTGGAGGGAGAGGTAACGAGTTTAGTTTTACAGATGTTACGTTTAAGACGTCTGCTAGACACCCAGTTTGAGGTGTCCGAAAGGCCATTGGCTGCGAGTCTGGAGGTCAGCGGAGAGTTTGGGGTAGGAACGTCAGCACAGAGGTGGTTGTTCAATGCATGGGAGCTGATGAGAGGATACTTCTGTGGGACAGTCACAGCAGGCCTTCCTCGGGCGATGATTGCTCAACACTTCATCAGTGAATGAAGCACGTGACTGAAAATAGTAAAAAGGGGACAAATCAAAGCCTCAGCTAAACACTAAAATAGAGATCTGGAAATCAGAGGAAATTAATAAAATGGGAAGCCAAAAACTTAAGAATTAATGAAAATTATGAGCTTTTTTGAATAATAAACGAACAAAATAAATGGTTTTGTCATCTGATTTTTTTTTAAAGAGGAAAAATAAATTGCTCATATGAAAAACCAATCCCTAATGGCTAGTTACTGCCCCCCCCCCCAGCCTAAATTCTCTCATCTTCCCTGGCCTCCTTCAAGATTTAGCCAGATCCCACCTTTTGTAGGACACCTTTCCAGGAACATCCCACAGCCACAGGAAGCCCTTAATATTTCTTGACTGCCTGATAGAAATAAAGGAAATGATCAGAAATTATTTTGCTCAATCGTATGCCAAAAAACTAATAGTTTCGATGAAATGGTTAACTACCTGTGAAAATAGAAAATACCCCAATAACCAGAACAAGAACTCAACAGTTTAAATGGCCAGATTTTATGAGTGGGTGGGGGTGGGGGGAATGGCCTGAGAAAGTACCGACCTCTGGGGCTAGATAGAAAGAGTCAGAGCTTCCCGGGGCATGAGCTCTCGATGGAGTACCAAGTTTCAATGTGAATCCTTCATATTTATGAGTTGCTTAAATAAGTGATTTGAAATATCCCCAAACTGCCTGCGCTGGCGCTTTCTCCGCTGGGTGGAGGTCTTGGGTCTCTGGTAGACTCCTCTGCCTCGGATGCATTTGGATCGGGAAGTAGGAGAGGGAGCGGCTGTCTCTGAAGGGCCTGCCTGCACAGGGCAAATAACCTGCTTTCATTTGTGTCGAATTTAGTTTTGTGTCACAAATACGATGGTCAGGCTTGATGGGCTCCATCCCTCTAGGGCAGAGCAAAGCAGAGGCTCAGGAGCATCTCCTGAAAAGGAGCGGTGTTAACCACAGCTGCCTTGCCCCAGGACGGGGAGTAGGGAGGCCGTGCATTAGAAGGGGGCCAGCTTGATCTGCGTGGCGGTAATAAGTTAGAGCTCATTGGCTTTCTTTGTATATATTGGGTGGCCAGCTCTCCCAGGAAGTGGGGATAAAGAGACCAAAATGGAACGGGCCCAGCCCGCAAGGAGCTTACATTCTGGTGAGGCTGTGGGGGAGACAATCTGTACATGAGTTAGTGCAACCAGGCCTCATCTTTCACAGCTCAATATTCTTGTGAGGCGGAGCTGTGAATGTTATGGGAGATGGGGTCAAACAGTCATCTCGCAAGAAAGATTGCTGGGAATGCACTTTTTGGCATATGACTCTTTATGGCAAAACATGATTTCTGACGATAGGACCTTTTCCTAACAGAGTGGCCATGAAAGAACTCAGGAAGCGCAGGAGAGAGGAGGGCAGAGATGTCAGAGGAACCCATGGTAAACAAGGGAGAGGCGCCACCTGCCGTCTCTGAGCCCCCTCCCAGGAACTCCTGCCCTGGGCCTGGGACCCCAGTATCATTCACCCACAGACTTAGCGGCTTTTCCCTTTTTTCAGTTCCCTTATGGCAGACTACAGAGGGCACAGTAGCACTTTCTGAAACGGATTCACAAACATTGGCCTCTGAAAGGGTGGACAGTGTGAGGGCCTGGAGATGAGGGCAGTGTCCTCAGTGCAAGGAAGAGTGGCAAGGCCTGGCAGGGCCAGTCTGGACTGCCGGGGTCAGTAGGGGAGCAAAAGCATAAGAAGTAAGACTGGGGCCAGGTCGGGGCCATGCCCTGGAGAGCTTTACAAGGTGACAAAGCCATTGATCTTTGATCCTAGCCTAGGTGGGAGGGAGCTGTGGATGCCGCTAGTAAGTAGGGAAGTTACCTGGCTCAGCCCAGGTTCTGCTGGGAAGTTCCGATCTGGCCTTCGACACTTAGTCGCTGTGTGTCCTTGGACAAGTCACTTCGACCTCTACTTGTCTGTATCTTCATCTGTGAAATGAGAATAGTAATAGCTCCCACCTCCCAGGGTTGTTGTGGGAATCAAAGGAGATGATATTTATGCTGCGTGGCACAGTGCCTGGCACATAGTAGATGCTCTGTAAATGCTGGTTACTGTTGTCTTTATACCTGTGCTTTAGGGAATCACTGTAGCAGCTGTGAGGGATGTATGTATGTGTGTGTGTGTATATGTATATATGTACGTATGCGCGCACGCACACACACGAAGGGTGAGACTGGAAAGAGACAGTGTTACCAGATGGAATCTTAAATTGATAAATACAATTAGTTTAAAAACCAAAATTGATGAACCGTTAACCAGTTTTCTCTTGCCAGTATGAAAAATGAAAAAGGAAAAATCACCACACATGGAGAAGAAATGAAGGAAACTATTAGAAACACCTTTGCCCAATTATATTCCAACAGAATCGATCGTTTAAAGGAGATGGATGAATCCTGAAAAATACAAGATGTCCAGGTTAACAGAACAAGGAATACAACATTTAAATAACCCAGTTTCAGAAAAGGAAACTGATCAAGCAATAATAAATGAACTCCCAAATAAAAAGATCCCAGAATCAAATGGATTTACAAGTGAGTTTTATGAAACTTTAAAAGAGCAATTAATTGCAATTTTACATAATCTGTTTGCAAAAACAGGAAAAGAGGGGATCCTCCCAGATTCATTATATCATACAATTATGGTTTCAATAACCTAAATCAGGGAGAGACAAAGTCAGGAGAAAATTATAGAAAAAAATCTGTTG